TGGCCTCACTGCAAGTACGTCAGGGTACTCTCCGGAAAGGTTAATAAGGAAGCTTCTGGAGCACACCCCAACAACTGGCCTGGCTATTACCGTTTTTAACAATCGTCTGGGCATCGTCACACGTCTGCCTTATTTCCATGCTGATGAGGATGAATTCCCAGCAGAGAAGGCAGGAAGGAAGCAAGACAATGACATGCAGCAAATGTCAGCCGTCGCCTCAACACCTGTGTCACTGCCCGCAACCGTGCATTCAGCCGCGGAGCTTCCGCTCTTTGGTCCTAAAAAGCCTGTTCACTAGGAATTATTTTCATCTACCAAGGAATAAGTAAGAATCCCTCCTACCTCCTAGGGGAGTGAAATGGAACCAGCGGGAAGATTCAGAGGTAGATTGAAAGAACAGATCTTTTCTCCCATCAACACATCCAAAGAAAAGAGAGCAGAAGGCCCCATTTTCTGGTTCTGCATGGCTTCCTTCTCTTGGTAAAGATGCTCTCAGGGCCCTCTGGACAACGGCATTCCACACAGAAGCCTACTTGGATTATTCTGGATGACTACTCCTTACCAATAATGAGCATGACAAGCAACACAGAGTGTCCCTGCCGGAGCTGGCAGATGGTGTGGGGTTAAGGGCACTGGATTCCCATCCGCGGTTCGAGTCCCAGACCTGGCAGCTTGCTTGCTCACTTTCCCTCTCTCTCTTTCTGTCTCTCTCTGGTCAAATAATAATAATAAATACATTTAAATAAAAATTATTTAAAAAAAATAGAGTGTCCCTGCCAGAGAATACTACAGAATACTACACCTTGTTGAGTTCCAGGCTGGGCAGGCCGTTCAGTCACACGTCCTTTGAGAGTGAAGATCTGCACAGCCTCCCCCACTGGCTGGCTCACTGGCTGGGTGTCAGGGAGCTCACTCCTGATCACACATCCTGTCCCATAACTGAACAACTCTCATGGTTCAAAATTATTTTCTTTTCTTTGCCCTTCTCTTGAACTTTCATTTATGGTCCTGCTTTCTTCCCCGTAGGGTGGCACGGAAGTCAGTTTTCTCTTCTGCCCTCAGACAGCTGATGAAGACACTCCTCCTGCCTCCCCTTGGTCTCCGAGTCACACACACCTCCCCCAAGTCTCACCTACAGGATACTTCCTTACTTGCAATCCTGATTGTCCTTCCCTGAACCTCCTCTGGGTGAGGGATGCACGGCACTTCTGCCACACCCCATGAGCCAGAACTCCATTGCAGGGTGCCGGGTAGAGGTAGGCCTATGCGTTGGGTGGTGGCTGGTCGCAAGGCTGGCAATGCAGTTCTGGCTGGAAAACCTCTCTCCTGCTTCTGGAACAACTCAACCTTATGCACGGGGCTTAGTGGTCTTTGAAGTACTGCTCTAGCTTTCTCGGCCACACAGCCTAAGACAAACTGCAGTTTGGGAGATGTTAAGCTGTCTTTCAACTTTTCTTCCTCGGTTTTCCATTGAAAGCAGATGCGGGGGCTGGCCAGTGCCGCAGTGGTGCCCTCTGTGCTCTGTGGCTGGCCCACAGGGGGGTGGGGGTGTGGGTTCTGCGTTTGCATCTGGAGACTTCCCTGAGTACACCCGGCACACATGTGGCCATGACCTTGGGCAGGCTGAAGCTGGGGGTAGGATGCAACGTGAAGACCGTGTTGGGAGTGCTGCCCAGCTCTCTCTAATGCACATAATAAAATGAATTCACATCTAGAACCCACCTCACCGAGTGCATTTTTGCAACATTTCAGGAGCACATATATTTGCTCAGTGCTCTTCCTTCTTCTCACTGACTTCCTGACTATGAAATAGAGAAGCATCTTCTCCGTGTGCACGAGGAAGCTTGGCTGTCCTCAAATTGGCAGCTTCTCTTGAGTTACATTGTAGATCATGACCATAGTCTTTGAGTTAAAGTTATTCATATCTGGGGGACCAGCAGATGGCCTAATGGTTATACCGCTGGATTCCCACATGGTCGACCACGGTTCGAGTCCCAGGCCTGGCGGTTTAAAACTCACACAGGTGCATGTGCATGCCCAAGATCCCAAGAGGAGAATGGAGGAGAAGGGATTTTAGTGTGGCCATCCTCCCTGGGGGATGATTTCTCTCTGTCTCTCTGGCAAGCACATGCGCTCTACAGTAAAAATCTCTCTCTAATATATATATATATATATATATATTACTCATATTTGAGCTTCTGAAACAAGGCCAGATATATGGGAGTTCTTGGTTAGAACATATTCGTCACAAATTCAGTGTGAATATGGGTGTGCTTTAAGAGAATGCAATGAATAGGTCAACTTGATTAGGAAGAAAACTGTCCCAGGACTTTTTCAATAAAGGTAGATTTGATCAATCTCTGTAAAACTAACAGCTAGAAAAATAATATTCATAAAGATAGAAAACATCAAATCGAATTACAATATATAACGAGACTGTACTGATTCTGATGGCTAAAAGCCCACATCTACACATATACCCATGGAGACTGGCTTGTTCAAACGGAACAAATAGAAACTGCTTTAAAACACAGAAAGGGGAACCAGCAGTTGGCTATGTTGCTAGACTTCCATGTGATCGACCGAGGTTCGAGTCCCAGGTCTGGCGGCTTAAACTCATGCCTGCCGCGTGGGCGTCTATGTCCAAGATCTCAAGAAGAGAGAGGAGGAGAAGGAATTGCAGCGTGGCCATCCTCCCCGGGGGGTGGTGATTTCTTGCTTTCTGTCTTTCTGATGAGTGCACGCGTCCTATGGTAAAAAAACCTCTTAAAACAAAGCATAGAAAGGAGTGTAACTGTGATGGTGCGGGTGGTAGTGCACTGATCTGCAGTACTGGAGGCCAAATGGCCAACCATGAGTTCAGATCCCAAGGTCACCTCAAACACTCTGGGCACTTGTACCCGGGATCCTGACTAGTTGGAGGCTAGAGGAAGGGGATTTCTGTGTGATGAAACCTTGTCAAGGGTACCTGTCTCTTTTTCTCTCCTGCTCTCATAAAATAAAATAAACTTAAAAAAAAATCAGGTAATTTATAACTGAGACATAATTTTTTTTTGGGGGGGGGGAGAGGTTTTTGCTATAGGGCGCGTGCGCTCGCCAGACAGACAGAGAGAGACAGAGAGACAGAAAGCGAGAAATCACCCCCCAGAGGGGATGGTCACGCCACAATCCCTTCTCCTCCATTCTCCTCTTGGGATCTTGGGCATGCACACACATGCGCCCGGCATGAGTTTTAAGCCACCAGGTCCGGGATGCGAACCGCGGTCGACTACATGGGAGTCCAGCAACATAGCCATTATGCTAACTGCTGGTCCCACTGAGACATAATTCTGAGATTCCAAATATATGTTTTCCTTCTGCCTGACTTTTTCACAGTCTACATTCATTGGCCATACTGGCTCATGCCCAGACAACCCAGTTTTCAATAGAAATATGCAGATTAGATTAATTATATGCTCCAGAACTTTTTTTTTTTTGAGAGATTTTTGCTATAGGGCGCGTGCGCTCGCCAGACAGACAGAGAGAGACATAGAGACAGAAAGCGAGAAATCACCCCCCAGAGGGGATGGTCACGCCGCAATCCCTTCTCCTCCGTTCTCCTCTCAGGATCTTGGGCACGCACACACACGCGCCCGGCGTGAGTTTTAAGCCACCGGGTCCGGGATGCAAACCACAGTCGACTAAATGGGGCTCCAGTGATATCTCCAGAACTTTTTAGTAGAAGTTATTTTATATTAAACATACTCTGTATATATTGTTCCAAAGAGATGAAAGGAGAAAAGGGGGGGGGGGACAACCGGCTTTGTCGCCTGTTGCCCCAAAATAAACCCAATTTCTTTTTTTTTTTTTGGAAGAGGTTTTTGCTATAGGGCGTGTGTGCTCGCCAGACAGACAGAGACAGACAGAAAGCGAGAAATCACCCCCCAAGGGGGATGGCCACACTGCAATCCCTTCTCCTCCATTCTCCTCTTGGGATCGTGGGCACGCATGCACATGCGCCCCGTGTGAGTTCAAGCCACTAGGTCTGAGACTCGAACCGTAGTTGACTATGTGGGAGTCCAGCGACATAGCCATTATGCCACCTGCTGGTCCTCCACCAATATTTCTATTAGGAAAAAAAACCTAAAAAGCCCCAAACTTCAAAATCAACTTTAGGAAGTATTTTTAATGATTATTATTTCTTAAAAAGATTTTTTTCCCATAGGGCTTGTGCACTTGCTGGAGAGAGGCAGAGAGAGACAGAGACAGGGAAAGTGAGAAACCATCCCCCCCGGGGAAGATGGCCACACTGCAATCCCTTCTCTTCCAGTGTCCTCCCAAGATATTGAGTATGCACGTACACATACCCAGCATGATTTTCCAGCCACCAGGTCTGGGACTCAAACCACACGGTTGACCATGTGAGAGTTGAGTACCTTAACCACTACACCAACGCTGGCCCCTAGGAAATGTTATTTTATATTAAACAAAATGTTAATGTGTTGTACCAAATAGATGAAAAGAGAAAAAAAGACCCTACATTATCTTCTGTCTTCCAAAAAAAGAACCCCCCAATTTTTATTATTATTATTTTTTTTTGGAGAGGTTTTTGCCATAGGGCGTGTCACTCGGCCAGACAGAGACAGAGAGACAGAAAGCATAAATCACCCCCCAGGGGGGATGGTCACGCTGCAATCCCTTCTCCTCCATGCTCCGCTCGGGATCTTAGGCACACACGTACATGCGCCTGGTGTGAGTTTTAAGCCACCGGGTCCGGGACTCGAACTGTAGTCGACTACGTGGGAGTCCAGAGACATAGCCATTACACTAACTGCTGGTCCCATCCCCCCAAATTTTTATTCAGCAGAGGGAACCTCAGAAAACCCAAAGTCCAAAATCAACCCAATTGAGACTTTAAACACGGTATATATGAAATGAAACACCACGCACTGCACTTAACTCAGTGTTGGAGGATGATCTCAAAACATGAGGAGAAATTACAATTACACACACTCCAGGGGCAGGTTTGAAACCTTTTATTAAACAGGCAATGCATTGTGCAACAGTGAAGGACACAGATGCCTAGTGGAAAAGTTTAAAAATTATTTTTGGAAACGGTCTAGGAACTGATGAACCCTGCTCTGTTCCTTCCTCTCCTCAGAGTGGCTCTCCTCAGGAAAACAGAACGTTTTATAGCTGCTCTTGGAAACGGCATCCCTGCTTTACCGTAAATGTCACGCCTAGTCGTAAACATGGAAGGAGAAGATGGGATCTACAGGCAGGACAGTGAGTGACCAGGACATGGGCTGGTCTCAGGCGGGAGCACAGACACCCGTCCTCCCGGATGGCTTCTCTCCTGGTCTTGCAGGACGTTCTACTGAGGCGTCCACACCTCATTTTCATTTTTTCCAGGTCCAAGGCCTCCTTATCAAGGGAAGCTAAAAGACTCACACACATACTCTGGGCACAGGAATTCATTCCTGGGTTTTTCCAGTGCTGAGGCCCCTCTGGTCAGACTTAGGGCTGTGCGTTTGTTCTCTTTGTTTTGCCTGCTTCCTTCCTCTTCCCCGAGCTTCCTCTTCCCCGAGTTGGTCATAACTGGATGACCAAATCAAGCTTTAGTTTCACAGTTTGTCTGCCAGGATTTATTGGCAGTTTTTAACCAAGTGGCCAGTCACCGTGGTGGCCGTTCTTTAAGCAACGTACTGCCAGCCTATTTTATAATCTGGGGCATGTCGCTCCAGGCTTGAGATTTCTTTCTCGCAAGTTCCATCCAGGATGGCTGGTCTGCACTGGCGTAGCTGGCTCTCTTCAGCTGATGCAACTCCTTGTCCGTCATCGCTGCAGACTGAGCTGCTGGAAAGGAGACAAGACCAACGGGAACATGAGAAACAAGTCTAGTTGTTCACTTAAGCCACGCGCTTTTCTTTCAATGTTTGTCGAGGTCTTAACTGGGTTCTCGGACATAAAATTCTTTAATGTGTAAACATATAAAGAAGATTAGGCATGTGATATGTAATTTATGTGATAAAAAGGTTGAAGAGGAGAATCAAAGAGTCTTAGCAAGGCTGTGAGGCAGGAGAAACTTCCAGAATAAGACTATAGGAATGCTGGAGATGAGTTGTACAACAATGTGACGACACTTCACAGTACTGAACTGTACACTTAAAACATGGTTAATGTGGTCAGTTTTCTTTTGTGTGCCTGTTAACACACTTCAAAACAAACAAAAATCTAAAAACACTGGTGCCAGCAGGTGACTTGGTGGTTAAGGTGCTGGATTGTCACATGGCTGACCATGGTTTGAGTTCCAGACCTGAAGGTTTGAAAATCACACCCAGCACATATACATGTGTGCCCAGAATCCCCAGAGAACAAAGGAGAAGGGACTGTGGTGTGGACGACCCCACTGGGGACTAATTTCTCACTTTCTCTCTGTCTCTCTCTCTTTCTGTATCTCTCTGGTATGTGCATGCATCCTATGGGGGAAAAAAACTAAAAAAAATACTGAAACATGCAATAACAGAGGTGAATCTCAAAAAACACGTGCTCATTGGAAGACACTGGAGGGACTAAGCAGATGGCTTAAGGGTTACATTGCTGGACTCTGGACTCTCGCGGGGCTGACTGCAGTTTGAGCCCCAAACTCAATAGCTTGAAACTCATGTTAGGTGGATACATGTACATGTATATCCAAGATCCCAAGAGGACAGTGGGGGAGAAGGGACGGTGGCATGGCCATTCCCCCAGGGTGTGGGTGGGTGATTTCTCACTTATTCTCTGTCTCTCCAGCAAGTGCATGCACCCTATACCAAAAAATCTCTCTCTCTAAAAAAAAAAAAAAAAAAAGAAAGACACCAGATACAAAATGACTCCTATTTTATTAATCTGTTTATAAGAAGTGTCCAAAAAGGCAAATCTATAGAGATAGAAAGTAGATTAGCAGTTGTACAGAGCTAGGAGTAGAAATGGAGATTATAAATGAACATGAGTGGGCCAGCCAGATGGCATGGTGGTTAAGGTAGCTGAACCCTACATGGTTGACTACATGGTTTGAGCTGCAGACCAGGAGGCTTGAAAAACATGCCGGGTGTATGTGTATGCACAAAGTCCTGAAGGGAGAATGAAGGAGAAAGGACTGTGGCGTGGTCATCACTCCAGGGGGTGCTTTCAAGCTCATCTCTCTCTCTCTCTCTCTCTCTCGGTGCCTTTCGGGCAAGTACATGCATCTTCTAGCAAATTAAAGAAATGAAATAAATGGATGTGAGGTTTCTTTTTAGTGTGAAGGAAATGTTCTATAATTAGATTGTCTTGATTGTTGTACAACTCTACAAATACAGTCTCACCGCGACTATATACTCACTGAACCGTGTACACTTCAAATAGGTGGGGTTTATGATCATACATAAATTCTCAATAAAAGCTATATAAAAAACACAACTCAACATGGCAGGTCCAGCCTGGGGTGCAGTTGTAGCAAACTGAACTGCAGGGCTGCAAGTCACAAGGCTGACTGCAGCCCAGATCCCCAGGGAAGCCTGAAAACACACAGGAGCTGGGGAGCTGGGGAGCTGGGAGCTGGGGAAAGGGGACTGCAGCGTGATGAGACCCTGTCGAGGGTGCTTGTCTCTTTCTCTCTCTCTCTCCCTCTCTCATGAAGTCATAAGTGCTGTCTCTCATTAATGAAAAACAAATAAAATTCAATGTGGCAACTACAGTGGATTCTAGACAGGAAACTGCAACTTATCTGCTGTGAGGATCTTCAGTGAATTAATGCAAAATAAATCATTTAAAAAATTCAATGCGGCAAATAATTCAGAAACAAACAAACAAGCTGCATGAAAGATCTAAGAAAGGGATTTCCGAGTGGTCGGTAGCGCTTGCAGATTTCATACCCAAGTTCTGCTGGGACAGTGAGATTCCTCTCTGCAGCCCCTCCTTGAGGTTGAGCTTTGCCCCTTGCCTCCGGTCCACGGCAGGCTTAGCCGGGGTTATCAGGAAAGACTTGCTGCGGACAAAGTCGGCTTGCTTCACAGGCTCCTGTCGGGACAAAAAGAGACGTGTGCTGTCCAGTAACCTGTGACTGTGGCAGGGGTGAATAGGACAAATGAACGAGCAACAGTCTCCCCTTCCAAGGTGCGGCTCACTGACGTGGAGCTGTCGGGTGTGGGAGCTCAGCTGTGCGCTCAGCCTTAGCCTAGGCTCACGTTGTGTCATGGCTGCTTCCCTGCCCCTACCCCTGGCCTCAGCCCAGATGCTGGATGGTGGGGACCCCATATGAAAGTGAAAGCAAGTGGTGTTTGGAAATAATTCTGTGATTTGTGGTGATCATAGTTGCCCCCAACTGGTTAATACTTCTTTGGTAAATTCCTCAAGGCTTCACGGGTCTTCAGGTCTGGGCACAATTGCAGTTTTGGCTTAAATGAAGGCTGCCCTTCGTTTAACCGCAGGCTCAGGCTCCCTTCCTGTACAGCTGAAACATGCTAGTGGGTTTACTGTAGGGGCGACTGTGGGGACCCGAGAGCTGCTCGGCCTGCTTCCAGACGGAGCTGTTTGTAGTCCTGAGTGCAAACTGGAACCCCAGGTTCCAGCCGTGCAGCTCCAGGTGAGAAATGGGGACCCCAGCAGGCAGCAGTGTAGCAACGGGAGCAGGGCTCGTACACCACTACACGATGAGCCACGCCAAAGCTGCTGACGCCATGGCCGGGTGTCTAACTGAGGAGCTATTTTAACCTCCCTGCTTCCATCTCTCCAGAGGCCAAGCTGCGTTGCCTAGGAGTCAGGGACCTGCTGCCTAAGTGATTCTCACACTTCTTTCTCTGGGTCCCTGGCAGCTCAGCACACAGGGACAGGGAGCCTGCTCCACCACAGAGGTTATAATTGGTAAATGACTGGTCCTGCTTCGCTGACCCTCGGCCACTCATCAGCAGTCGCCACAGGCGACAGCCTCTGTGAAACACATGCTGGACCTTGTGTGGTCATCACACGGGCTCTGCCCTCAGTCCAACCTCAGCCCCAGCCCTTGGGGCAGCTTCCTCCTGCACCCGTGGAAACAGAATTTGCTGTAAGCACCTGGGCTCTCTCGGGCACCTTGGCTTGCTTTCCAGTTTCTGACTTCTGGGTGCGTGTCCCAGGCTTGTCTTCCTGGTTGGGTGGCTGGTCCGGGGCCCCCCGCCGCTTCTGCCGAGTGACGGTGACCCAGGGTGGTGTGGGCTGCCCGTTGGCTCCAGGTCCTGTTGCTGTAGGAGGCAGAACCTTTTCTGTGGGGAGAAGCAGGAGGTTATGCAAAATTGTGCTTTTCCCTCTGCAGTTTCACCTTTGACTTCTGCCACACACAGAACTCCCACTGCTCTGCTGGGGTGGCAGCAGGTGGGAAGGAAGGAGGTCCGGGAACGTCTCTGGGCGGACCGTTACTCTTCTTAGGGGCACCTTGTTTTCTTTTCAAAGATGCATCAAAGAGAGGAGGTTCCTCTTGTCTAAGCTCCTGGCCCCCAGTAAAAAGCAACTGCTCGAGGGACTAGCAGTTAGTGTAATGGCTATGTCGCTGGACTCTCATGTAGTCGACCATGATTCGAGTCTCGGACCTGGTGGCTTAAACTCATGCTGGGCGCATGTGCATGCATGCATGCCCAAGATCCCAAAAGGAAAATGGAGAAGAGATTGTGGCGTGGTCATCCCCCCTGGGGGGTGATTTCTCGCTTTCTATCTCTCTCTCTGTCTGTCTGGCGAGCGCACGCACCTTATAGCAAAAACCTCTGCAAAAAAAAAAAAAAAAAAAAAAGCAACTGCTCGATAAGGTCGGCATGCATTACAACCAACCTGCCAGCTTCCTCCTGCAGTCCTTTCTGGAAAGAGAATAGACTAAGCCTGTAAACAGATATAATCCTGTCATTTTGAACCTGTACATACCACCTGATCCCTGATTTGCACGGAAGTTGTAGATACAGTATTGTTCTTGTGTTTTGAAAACTAAGCATAACCCTCCCTGGATGCAGAGCGTGCCAGCCTAAACTGTCTACAGTTCGCTCCTCCATGCTCTAAAGAAAGGAAAAACAGCATCTTTGAAATGTGTTTTGTTGGATTTTCTTCCACATTAACGGTGTTTGTATTTGGGCAGCAGGACTGAGGCTCATTCCCCCCCTCACTTCTCAATTCTTTTGCATTTTCTTATCTTCTATTATGGGAATTTATTTCCCTCATCAACAGAAATTTCATCCAGGAAACCTATGGATGAAATGAGTGGCTTCGTACAGATACATTCAAAGGACAGAATCCAAAGGTTCCCCAGGAGCCTCCTCCTGCGTGTTTGCTCGTCTGCAGACGTTTGAAACAAAGGCAGAGACCCACCACCCGGCCCCGGTCCCTTCCCAACATCCTGGCTGACAGGTGCAGTGTGTGCGCCCCGCTGCACAGTGCACCTGTCAGCCAGGTGGAGGCAGGGCCCGTCCCAGCAGCACCTGCGACCCCAGGATGCACTGATGTCATTGTTCTTTGCAACCTGACACGCTCACCCTGTACAGGTTACGGGTTTTGCCTTTGTTTCTGCTTCCGGCTCAACCTGGAGTTCTTTTGTCTCAGTCCCCTGTCACCAAAGAGGGGTGACTTTGAAGACTGCAGTCTCCCGCTGGGGTGGAGAAGGGCTTCTTGTGTCACACATAGACAGCTGGTGGTCGGGCAATTCTTGCCCTGCTGCTCCCGGAGCCCCCCACCCCCAACTGGTTCCCGAAAGCCTCGCTCCGTCTGATTTGCCCTTGCCCCCATGCTGCCTTTTCAGTCTCTCCCTGGCCCCTGCCTTCTTCATTGCTGCTTTGCAAAATGCTTGGGTCCCCAGAGCATGAAGAAGGCAAGTGTCTGCCGAGCCTTGCTGCCCTCAGAAGCCCCAGTCTTCATTCTCTACCCTTAGCTCCAAGAGGCCCTGCCTCTGTCCCAGCAGTTCCTGACCCAGGTCAACCCTGTGCTCTCCATCCTCCCAACAAGCATACCGTAAATCAGGCAAGCGCCGCCCTCGCCCTGCTTCACCCCTGCACCTGTGATGGCCACACTGCCCCTGGGGTGCCCTCCTGGGCTGACCCTTCCAGCCTCTGGAGGCCCTTCTCCAGGTCCTTGCCATTTACTATTTTTTTTATAAGTACATGTATTTTATTTGTCATTATTATTGTTATTATTTTTATCTTAAAATTTGCTACAGGGTATGTGTGCTCACCAGACAGACAGAGAGAGGGAAAGCAAGAAAACACGCCGCAGGTCTGGGACACAAACTACGGTCAGCCATGTGGGTCCAGCACCCCAACTCCCATGCTATCTACTGGCCCCCTGACTTTTACCTTTAAGCCTAGAATTCGTCCGTGTCCCTGACCCTCAGCCTTCACCTTCTCCTCTCCAACTGTCCTCTCTCTTCCACTCCTGACTCCTGTTCTTTTGCTCAGATCTCTCCCAAATGTATAACTTGCCCTACTTCCTATTCTCGGCTGGGGGCCAACATTTCTTTCTTTTTGGAGAGGTGTTTGCTATAGGGCATGTGCTCGCCAGAAATACAGAGAGAGACAGAAAACAAGAAATCACCCCCCAGGGGGCATGGCCATACCGCAATCCCGTCTTCTCCATTCTCCCCTTGGGATCTTGGGCACGCACACACATGCGCCTGGCATGAGTTTAAGCCACCGGGTCCAGGACTCGAACTATAGCTGACTATGTAGGAGTCCAGCAATGTAACCATTACACCATCTGCTGGTCCAGGGAGGCCAACATTTCTACTCCCCTGCTCCTTCCTCCCATTCATCCACCCAGTATTTGCTATGGGCAAGGACTGTGTTAAATTCTGAAGTGGAAAAATAAACAATGAATTGTTCCTTCAAAAAGATCAAGGTCCAGTGTGTGCGTATGTGGTGGGGACAGGGGTTTGTGGGGAGGGTGTGTGGAGGCTAGATAGGAACAGCCCTGATGGAAACTGAAAAAGGCTACAATTTACAAAGTGCTGTGTGGACGCAGGGCGTGACACTGGTGGTCGGAGGTGGGGCTGCGGCCTAGGGTGGGGACCCTGAGAAGGAGAACAAGCCCTCAGGGCTTAGGGAGGGCAGCACACAAGGAAAGGCCTCCCTGGTGAAGATTGAGGAGGTGTATGCAGACGGCCCAGAGGGGCTGAAGGGCAGGTGTTAGGGCAGTTGTCTGCTCTGTCTTTTCCCTCCTGTCCATATGGGGAGCCCAGGAGTTTTCTACCACGGGACACTTAGGAGGTCGTGTGGAGACTGAGACTGGCTGGGCAGTTGGGAGGGAGGCCGTGGCCACAGTTCAGAGGGTGACGAGGGACTGGAACTCCTGTTCTGAAATCACTGTGGCTTTTTCCCCCAGCCCTGCCCGCTGCCACCTCCTCTGTGCAGTCTGTTCTGTTCAGCTGGGCTGGAGACCAGAGACGGGGGTGGGGGAGAGAAAGAGGGAAAGCAAGCTGGCAGGTCTAGGACTTGAACCATGGTCAGCCATGTGGGAGTCCAGCACCTAAACTACCATGCCATCTGCCAGTCCCTTGTGTAACTTTCTTAAGACACTTACTCTGGGGCCAGCACGTGGCATGGTGCTTAGAGTGCTGGACTCCCACATGTTTGACTGCGGTTCAAATCCTGGACCTGGCAGCTTGCATTCTCACTCTCCCTCCCTCTCTCTGTCTCTCTGGTCAAATTAAAAAATGATGATGATGATCAATAAGGTTAAATAAAATAATCCTTAAAAAAAAAAAAGGCACTTTGCTGTGTTTGCTATTAGAAACATTCGCTAGCTGGCCCCAGGGAGCCATACCATCAGTCAGAAGAACCTACTTATTTAACACACGCACACCGCGAGCTATGTACCAGGCAACGGTCTAACATTAGCTACTTACAATACTGTTTCTTGTTTTAGTCCTTGTGTACAGAACTCAGTAACTGCCTGGCACACGGAGGGTGCTTGGTGACTCCATGTTTAACATAAAATCTAGTTCTCAGTAAGAATTCCAGAGACTCCTCATTGCCTCTGTCTTCCTGTTTTGTTCTTTTTTTCCCCCAGAGGGTGCATGTGTGTGCACCAGAGAGAGAGGTACCTGCAACAGGGCCTGGCCAGGCTGCAATTCTTTTTCCCTCTACGTCTCCATGCTTTCAGGACCCTGGGTACACATACAAGTGGGAAGAGTGTTTTTCAAGCCCCCAGGGCTGGGATTTGGCTTGTAGTCGGCCATATGGGATCTGGCTCCCTCTGCACAGTGCCAAACTGCTGGACTACAGGACTGGCTCAAGATTCTGACCTTTTCACACAAGGTCCCTTGCTGTTCTCCTTGGGTGTCTTCCTACTCTGGCCAGCCGTGGCCTCTGCCCTCTCCTGGCCTGCAGTGTGTCTGGGCAACCATCCTCTCAGCTCTGGTCAGGGCCTTCTGCTGCCTCATACCGGCATACTGGAGAGAAGGGCCTCACCCTGGGTTTGAATGTGTTACCCTGGGCACAGCAGAGTGTCCATGCTTCTGTTGAGACCAAGAGCTTGGAAGGAGACAACTTCGATCCCCAGTTTTAAATCTGAGCAGATGGAGGCTGGCAGGTGGTGTAGTGGTTAAGGCGCTTGACTCCCAACAGCGGTTCAAGTTCCGGACCTGGAGCCTTGCGTTCCTCACTTTCCCTCTCTTTCTCTTTCTGGTCAAATTAATGTAATAATAATAATGATAAATATAATACTTCTTTAAAAAGAAATGTCTTAAGTATGAGCAGACAGCAGCTGTTAGTGCCACAGGGGATGATCCATTCTGCTCTGCGCGAGGGTCTCGGGGCCCTCTCTGACTTCCACTCGGCACCCCCATTGGAGGCAGGGGCCCTGGGACCTGTCCACATGTTGCCTTTGGGTGGGAGTGGGGTGGGGTGGGAAGAATAAAGACACAAGCAAGGTTCAGGAAGGGCTGGTTTCAGGGCCAGAGACCTGACAACAGGACAGCTCTAAAGCATTTGGGGTCAAGGTTGCACCATCAGGCTTGTCTGGAGCACATCGCTGGCTCCTGGCACCCTCACAGCTCAGCACAAGGTCCCTGATACTCCTGTCACTCTCACCAATGCGGCATGAGACATGGTTCTGGCAAATTCCTCATGCTGTATACTTGGATTATTCTACCTGATCCAAAAGAAACATTTTCAAAATCAGCAGAGGTTACGTGGAATGTCATATGCATTGTTACCAGATCACAGGAAGAGGTGGCTTTAAGAGAAAGCTGGGGACTGCCCCCCCACCAGGCTGCAAGGATGGCGGCCTCTGG